ACGCAGCGTTGAAAGCTTCAAAGCCGTGGTTACCTTGTCCGATGGCTGAACAAGAATCTATTTTCATGGTTTCGATTGACGGCGGTCTGAAATTTTCTGCAATTTTTTAATTTCTTTTTTAACTGATTAATTTATTAATCACTCGAACCTTCAAGACAATCCTTTAATTAACTGCTTCCTCCATCCATGTTTAGTCAGTGATCTGGAACTTTTGATTTTGTGATCTGATTTCTACTTGCACCCCGATTCATTTCTGTATACAGACCACCGTCGTAGGGTTACTAGCGTTCAACAATGTCGATTTTGTGGCCCAAGTTGTTCATATATTTAATTCGATCCTTTGATGTTATAATATGCAATCGGGCCTTTATATTACTTCTCACAACACAATGAACCGTACTGATTGCTTATATAAGATCCATTCGGATTGAACGATACAAAACCGTTCCACTTTCAGGCTCTACACACCTCAAACAACTTTCGTATCCAACATCGGATCTCTTCATACAAATGACCAATTTTAGTCAGAATGAGATGCAACAATTAACCAAGGAAATAATTCTGAATATGTGTGATTGTCAGAGATTACCGGATGGAAGCTTACCGGCAGGTTGTGTACTCCCAAGTCCAAGGCCCACTACACCAGTACCTATAACCATCCCCAAAGTTCCGATAAGTAAGTTGAATTTCCAACATTCAGCTGCTTAAGTGTATATACTTGAAAACTTATTGTGGAACAAAAAGAATTGAAAATGTTAGCACTGTTAAGATTAGAATAAATTCAGCGGCGACCACGCACGAAACCGTAGCACCGTCAAGCACCACGCAGAAACCCAAAGTTCCGTCAAGCACCACGCAGGAACCTAAAGCTCCGTCAAGCACCACGCAGGAATCTAAAGCTCCGTCGAGCACCACGCAGGAACCCAAAGCTCCGTCGAGTACCACGCAATCATCTCAACACTCCGCAACATCATCTGCACCTTCACTAACGTCTTCTATTAACTATATTCAAATTCTCGCATTCTTAATCCTGATCACTCATTTTTAAAATGTTACAATCGCTAATGAAGATCTTGAAATATATCAACTCCTGTCGTAAATATTGGAATGTTACAACTGTAAGATTGTTGGTACTGAACCATTATGATCATAATCACTTATCCAATTAAAGACCAATAAACAATTCCGTTCAAATCAAGCGAATGCAATATGGTATATTAATAACTCATGCACGCCCCTGCTCATTATCAGGATGTTCATTTTTTTGGGGAGGGGGGGGGATTAGGTATAAGAAAAACGAGAGTAATAGGCATAACTCTTAATGTTCCAAGCGGATGGAAATCGTTGGAGGTTGAGGAGCCTAGAGGGGACTCCTCACATGCTCCTTCTTGGGTATGCGTCAAAACTGATGTAATAATTATATCAATTGCTTCTACTAATTTCATTATATTTGATCTGATAATTATTTCCAAATTTGTTATTGAATTATGACGTTCAGTACGTTGCAAGTCTATATCTATTTTCCATTTGTATCATTTAATCATTCTTATTCATACAAATACTAACCACATCAACAAATATCTCTCTTCCACAACATTACAGGCAATTAAAACCAAAA